CAAAAAACCCCATCTAAAGCTCCAGCCCCTTCGCCAGACTCTATCTCGACGACGGACCTCCGACGCGACAGCCGGCACTCAGAGTGCGCCTCTGCCCGCCCGGCCGCGCCCTTTTCACGAACCCCGGGTGATCTCCCCGAGAGCGGGAACCCTTCCGGAGACGCCCGGGGGCTACGTATCATCGCGATCTGTTCATCCCGGCTCTCGGATTGCCGAGCTCCTGTCGCAAATCAAGGCCTCATCCACTTAACTGACCGAACTTTTTAACTGGTTCACGCGTATTTGTTTTACGCCAGCGATTAATACAGTTTATTGACAAAATGACTGTCTTTAATTAGCTACAGAGCGGGCTTATTGTCCAAATTTGTTCAAAAGTAAGAGAGGTAAAAAAAACCTGTCGGCCCGTAATAAAAGCAACTTTTAAGGATAGAACGACGGAAAGGGAATAATATCAGCTCTCGATAATTCCATGTCTCCCATAGTTTTACAATATTTTCATAAGTAGTAGTAGTAGTAGTAGTAGTAGTAGTAGTAGTAGTAGTAGTAGTAGTAGTAGTAGTAGTAGTAGTAGTAGTAGTAGTAGTAGTAGTAGTAGTAGAGTAGTAGTAGTAGTAGTAGTAGTAGTAGTAGTAGTAGTAGTAGTAGTAGTAGTAGTAGTAGTAGTAGTAGTAGTAGTAGTAGTAGTAGTAGTAGTAATAGTCGTAGCAAAGTATTCGCTGCTATTCCGTATCGTTTATTGCCAACGCTTGTATAATGTTCGCGGTGGGAGCAGTGTGAGGGGGACGGGGAAGGGGGGTCGAGGATGAGGGCTAGTGAGAAAAGAAGATAAAAAAACATCGTCGTAAAAAGTACAATCAAGAGTACAATCATCAAGTTTCTTTTACAAATTCGCATCTTATGTGGAAGTCATTAATGAAGTTCTAAAAAGTTGTCTAATAATTTCGTTACGTGTCAAAGCTATGAATCTTTGTTCTTTTTTTTTTAAATAAATGTCGAAATCATTAGATAAGCTTTTCAGCAGCAGTTTTAAATAATTTGGTCAACTCGGCTATTAAAAATACTAAATCTTAAGCTTGGAAGTCTTGATTTTAAGAATTGACACAATTATAAAGTTAAATGATAAAGCTTTGAGGTTTTTTGACGAAACTTATTCGATCCCTCAAGATAAATAATACCCTAGCAATACTTTATTCTCTCAAAAGATCTTAAATTTCTCTAAAAAGCATTATAAAACTGCCACTTTAAAACATTTTATAAACTTTTATCAAGCAACTTTTAATACAACCTTTCGACTTAAGGGTTTCAGAATCTTGCAACGTAGAACAATTGGAAGTAACGAAGAAACGAGAACCTATGAACCTTCATATTCTGATAAGCCGAAATGAAATAATAAAACTGTTCGAAAAGTATAGCCAGTGCATTTGTCACGCCCCGTACTATTTTAAACTTAGTCCACTCGAGCCGTCCATCATAATCTGTTAAAATTGAAGCTAAAACAACAAAAAGAAATAAAAAAGAAAAACCAATGAAGCAGCTTTAAAAACACCCATACTAAATAAATTAAATTTGATATTTGTTACTTTATTAGAAATATAAGGATTTATATTAATCTAGGTAGTCTCCCATTGTTGTCTGCACTGCTGCTTTAAAGTAACTTTTTCACTTTTTAATTTGGACCTTAAAACTCATTTAAAAAAAATTATAATAAATAAAAATAAGCATAAAGAAATTAAAAAATAAAAAAAGTCGTTAAAAGTAAACTAACAAAGTTTAGAGATTTCCTTTGGAACAAAAAACAAAAATTACAATTATTTTAACGATAGCATTATAAGCGTTTAAATAATTTACATGTGTGCGTAAAATTAGCAGGGATTTCAAATGCAGAAGAAAAGAAATTAAATAAAAAAAAACATAATTAAATAAATATATAAGTAGGTACGTGTTGAGGATGGTTAGATGGCGTTTAAGGCAATTCTGGATTAACAATATTTTATACATTTTTTTATTTCATTATGATCTTTTCCTCATAGCCTGTGCTAATTAAAACAAAAACAAACAAACAAACAAACAACAACAACAACAACAACAACAACAACAACAACAACAAAAACAATAAGCTTCAACTAAATTTTTATTACAAAGCAATTAGTAACGATAAGATGCAATACAAATTAAAAATAGCTTATCCCTTTACCAAAAAGTACCTTTATTCGATAATTCTCATTGCCCTAAGGCCTCTACCGATAATACAGTACATTCGAACAAGGAAAGAAATCTCTATTATTCATCGGATTTTTGTGAAAAGTATCATTACACTACGAATAAACAATGCAATATTTGCACATATGCCGTTTAACAAACATTTTTTCTATTCATTAATTCCTTATCATTAATATGCCTTGTGAAAAATTGAATTCTCAATACCAATTTATCTTATGAATTATTTATAATTAATTTACATGAATTTTTTCTACCTTATCAATTTCAAGATAAGAAATTTAAATTTAATTTGCATTATTTTTAGTTCATATTAATATGTAGTTGCTATAAATACTGAAAAAAGCTTTTAAATTAGATTAAATGTTGCCTTTACTATTTTATAAATCAATTTAACGATCTTTGATAATTATTAAATATTCGTAAGAGCAATTTAAACGATACGTAAATCATTCTCATAAATTAAATCGATGTAAAAATAAATATTATTCTTCACCTTCTCGAATCAGAAAATAACGGATTTTTCTCTCTTATTGCTTTTGTGCTTTGCAACTGTTGTATTTAAGAAAAGCCTGAAGCTCGTATAAAAAGTTTTTTAAATAATATAAAATGTAATTATTTCATTGTTATATGTAAAAGAAAGTATATTTTTTAATATTATGCGCACGATAAGCCAATGTCAATAATTCTGACGCTAGCGATATAATTAATAAAGATTATAAGAATTATTTATCAATTTCGCATATTTGTCCATAATACATAGGCATAAATTAGGGAAA